GCACAGACCACAAAAAGCAGGCACATTTCCGTCAGCACATCTCTGCTGGGCTCTTTAGGTAACATGTCCCGGCAAGAGACGGAGAGGGTTGGTGTTATTGGCCTTAGGCCTCCTTAGCCCCTACTGTATCAATAATCAAAAGATGACCCACGATCTATTTTAATGGTTAAATAATGTGTACCTTTGTAGCAAAACAAAAGTACTTCGGTTGTGGCATTTAACATGATACGCTGCACAACGTTCGAAGAGTTGCACCATTTAACTTCAGCTTTAGGATGAGTATAATTACAAAATACTGTATGTATCTTAGTGTCATCCTCGTCTGTTAAGTAGGGGGTGTGTTCTGTAACCTCCTGCAAGCAGGCCTTCACCACTCCACATGGTCTCAGTGGACCTGGCCTAGCATAGCGATTGTTGGTGGCACGTGGGTCCACGTGTGTGAACATTTCCGATCAATCTCGCCATTTACATGCACAATGTAATCTGATTGAAACGTGAGTGATCTTTTTTTAAAATCCTCCCTTAGTCAATCTAAATGCCTTCGAACGTCTGGATGAGTTGATATCCATGTTGAAATCAAGTGCTGAGATCTCCGAAGCATATGTGGCACAGAGCGTTAGGTAGGAGTCTTGAGAGAAGCCCCTCCTACCAAAACATGAAAAAAATCCACATCAGGGGATAATTCATTACATCCCCAGCCAATATGGATGGTCTCCCGGCATGGCTGGTGAACGATGGGCACGTGTGCGTGGATGGCGTGGTCTGAGAGGCCTCGTGTTATACTTCTTGTGTACAAGGTTGGAGTTGAGAATAGAATAGAACCTCAACTGTTAAACGTTACATCCATGTTTTAAAGATGGCAGACCATCTTTAAAACAAATGAATGTGCAGCGACCGAACTGGACAAATACTCTACAGTTCTGGAGTGTTTAAAGATGGCAGACCATCTTTAAAACAAATGAATGTGCAGCGACCGAACTGGACAAATACTCTACAGTTCTGGAGTGTTTCAACATACGTACGTGCTTACGTATTTTGGAACTTCTTTCGGCACCGTACGTAGCCAACCATGCTAATTGGAGGTGCGTGGGAAGAACAACAAACTTAACGATACAATCAATCTCATAAACACATTTGCAGATATTCTCAGTGTTAAAGGGGTTTCAGTAATTCGGTTTTTTTTTTAGTCCTTGAGCTTTGACTTGTTTTTTTGCGATGTGACTTTTGATCCAAGCCAAGTTGGCAAGTATGCTTATGTATGCACGCATGTTGAACTTATTTCGCACCGTATGTAGCCAACCGTTACAATCGGAGCTTATATTAATCAGCCTTAAGAATAAAAAACCCTCATTCAACGCTTTTTCAACGGTTTTACTTAACTTGATTCCTCTGTTTGTCTGGGTCAAATCTTGTTATCAAAATTTCGTCCACTTCCCGTTGTCCAATCAATTCCACATTTTGCACACGTACTCAAATCCGGTGACAATGCATGCCTGTATCAAAAGCGGCATCAATTAATAAATTAAATCGCTACTTTAAAGCAATTTATATTTTGTATGGACGCCGTGTTATTTATGTATATTTGTGTGTAGGTCAAAAACGCCTCGGTCCCTAAACTCTGGAATCGGCTCGCACAAAAAGCAGGCGCCACGTGTCTCAGGCGCCATTGACGTACTTCTCAAAGACCGTGAGTTAAACGAAGTTGTTAACAAAACCGTTTTTTTTTACTTTTTTAAACGAGTTTATACTTAACTTGACTCCTGTTTGTCGTGGTCAAATCTTGCAATCAAAATTTAGTCTACTTCCTGCTGTCCAATCAATTCTACATTTTGCACACGGTACTCAGATCCGGTGACAATGAATGCCTGTATCAAAATCGGCATCAATTAATCAATTACTTGACCCCTTTAAAGCAAATTAACATTTTTGTATGGACGCCTTATTATTTATATATATTTTTTGTGTGTGTAGGGGAGAAACGCCGCGGTCCCTAAACTCTCGAATCGCCCCGCCCAAGAAGCAGGCGCCACGTGTCTCAGGCGCGCCTGCTCCGTGTCAACCGGGTTACGGGCGCCCTCACTCACTCCACACAAACAAAAGTTGTACATTGAAGATTCATTTTGTAAAATAAGCAATTTATTCAAGTAAGCGTTGCTGTGGGAGCAGGCGCCGCATCATTGACGTACAGCAGTTTCCACTGCTGGATTATAATTTTCCCCCGCCTGAGGACGACCGCTTGTGTTGCGATCGAAACGTCGTGACACATTTTATTTTATTTTACACCGACGTGACTTTACCGAAAGAAGCCAAAGCGTCTGGATTCCTGCAGTGACGAAAGCTTCAAATGAACATTGACGTACTTCTCGAACCGTGAGTTAAACGAAGTTGTGAATAAAACCGTTGTTTAAAAAAAAAAAAACTTTTTTGAAGGAGTTAATTTTACAGTCCCGTGTAAAACTCTGCACATTAAGGTTGTTAGCATAGCATCGTTTCCAACGCGGTGTTTGCAGCGCATGTGCAAAAGTATCAGTTCATTGTTGATTAAAGGGTACACTCAGAAATTACCATTACTTTCCTCCTCGTTCAAAGTGTTCCAATTAAGAACATAATCCTCGCCCGGGGACTGTTTGGCAGAGGAAGCATCGTAAAGCACACTGACCTTTTAAGAAGACGTTAGGCCACTTGTCCCATCTGCTTATGGATATTGCAGATTTTGCTGTGCATTGTGGCAGGAGTAGGCACACGTGCGCGTAGGTTCACCGAGTTACGTACCCTTAAGGCAAATGAGGCATCCTCATGAGCGATATAAACCTGTTATTAACTACGTTACAATAACATAAATCGTTAGCATCATCTTCCAGTTTTAATAATCATTTAATGTATCTCCCAATACATTTGACCTATCCTCCTACGCACTGTATCTGTTATTTTCACAACCTTCTGTGCTATGATTATATCCCTAGTGAGAAATGCACAAGGAAAACTTCATGCCAGACACCCAGAATCTGTCAGAACAGACATGAATGCAACCTTCATTCAGTTGCAGAGCAGATGGCAGACACTTTAAATAAACTGCCATGCCTGTGAACCAACAATGCACTACAATTGCCATGGTATTTACGTGATTACGTGGGTGTAGCTTATTAGAACTATATCACTGTTTTATATATATTGTATTATTTTATTGTTTCCCTTCAACGTGTCTTTACCGAAAGAACCAAGAATATGAATCACTGCAGTCACGAAAGCTTTAAATCAAAATATATCACTGATTGGTAAGGATGAATTGCCATATTTGTATTTATGGTTGTATTTTTACCGATAATGTTGTTTCTATACTTCGTGGAATTGCCTTTCCGTTTGATGCAAAATGTGGTCATAGAGCAATGTCATTTCACGTAACGAAAGTAAGATCCCGTCAATTTTCCAAGTCGGTAGCTAATGACGGTGATTCAATTGTAGATGCTCCTTTCCAATATATTTGATTAAGGAATGGCATTGTGTATATTTCAAGAGGCCATCAAGGCCAATAATGATACCATCATGCCTCTCCATTGCGTCCATTCTGCTAGATCCTTCTGCTGTTGTAAAGTTGATGCGCAACCCAGAGGTCTGCTCACTTTCTGGCTTTTGGTCGTCCTATTGGTTAGTGACCTCTGATTGTTATTCCAATGCCTGTCTCTGTAACAACCTTCCTTCATCCTGCACACGTGCCCCACCCATCTCAAGTTGCCCTTCTTGATTACCTCTACACTGGGTTCTTGACAACCATGGCATCGTTTACTCTGAAGTTCCTATGTTGTCCAAGTCCAGGCTCATTCCATAAATACATACACATTGTAAGGCACCGCATTGCCCAATTCTGCTTGGCAATTCCAAACGTTAGTCGAATGCAATTACAAAGTCCAAACGCGTATTTTCACTTAGCTTTGTTAAAGTCGAACTCTCTCGCCCATACATTAACACCAACATTCCCACTTCAAACACCTGCTATTTAACACGAATGGTGACCTCTCTATCTACTACTGCGATGAAGTAGAAACATTTATATCTGGTTTAGATTGAAAGGATATTTTCAACGTTTTTTTTTTTACATGAGGAACACTATGCTCCCGTGTTCTCAAATACAGAGTTTGAAATTGTTGCTGAGTCAGCATGTATACATAGATTGCAACATTGGTAAAATGAACAATTTCCGCTGAATAGGGGAATAGTCAGCATTAAGATCTCCAGTAAAACATTGAGGAAAAGCAATATTCGGTGTGTCCTTGATGTAATTTTATATATGTGCTCGTGTTCCCAAGTGATGTTTCACAATTTAACCATTTTGTATAGCTCTATGAGGAGAATAAAAGACACACAAGAAATACAGTGCAACATACCTGTAGATAAACAAGTATTGAATTTATTTACAATTTTCACAAATAATCATATCTATCAATTGTGTTAGTGTCTGGGATAGAGGTGGAACTGCATTTGTCAATGCTGAATTTACAACAATATAAAATTAATGAATAAACCAGAAGTGAAATCATAGGCCTTCTCCAGACCATCTCAAGGGTCTACCTTCCAACAATCTCTTAAGCTGTGCAGATGTAGTAATAGGTTTTTACCCTTTTAGCTGGCACAAAAACTGACACCTTTATACAAGGGATCATGTTTGCAATAACCACAACACAAGCAGTCAAAAATGCAAACAAAAAGAAACAACTCTGATAATGATATGCACTGTCCTTGAATTTGATTGGTCCACACCCGAGGTCTCATAATGTAAAGGCTTACCCGAGCTCTCAATACTCCGATAGTGCGCTGTTTTTGAGTTGTATGCCTTATGGTGTCATCTGGTCCAACACCAGTGGAGACTAGGCTCTAAGAAAAGCCGTCTCTGGTGTGGACCAATCAAATTCAAGGACAGTGCATATCATTATCAGAGTTGTTTCTTTTTGTTTGCATTTTTGACTGCTTGTGTTGTGGTTATTGCAAACATGATCCCTTGTATAAAGGTGTCAGTTTTTGTGCCAGCTAAAAGGGTAAAAACCTATTACTATATCTTGTTCCTAGCAAAGGAGGTCTCATACTGTGCAGATGTGTGAATCATCCGCTGGGTATCTATCTGCCAAATTGGTCATTGGTGTTGGGGTAACATGACACCAAATATTAATGACAGGTTTATATTTGTGTTTGTTCAGTAAATTGTGATTGTGCTGATACCACTGAAGTTGCTCCACATGAGCATATCATTTTAATTCGAGTGGGGAGATTGGGATTCCAAGCCAGGATCTCGGTGGTGTTGTCACAATACTTCAAATGGGCATATCGTCATCCCCCATCTCCCACGAGTTTTTCAAACTGTAATCTCCCTTGAGCAGCTCACATATAGGCATGAATGGAGCAACAGTGGAAACGAAAGTGACGACAAACATTCTCGCTGACTTTTAGGATTTAAACTGCATATCTATGACGACCACACTGGGATGGGGGCCACTTTTTTCTGTAACTGTCGGTGACTGATAACGTTAGGGGTGATGGCCCCTTTATCAAAGAAAACCACTGAATAAATTGTATATCTTGAAAAGTTATATGCCAGTGTTTAATGACCACCATGGTGAGAGGTGTTTTTTTTTCATTAGGAATGTGGCTACTTGTTTATTTTTGCATAAAGGGGACTTGAGTGGTTAATGTTCAAAGTTTATATTGCATTATTATGTATCTTGGGTAGCACATAAACACTCCATACAGGGCCTCCTCTACTTGCGAATATTCGACTTACGAACTTTCAGAGATACGAACAAACCTGTCCGTATGTCCAGTTGCCGGTTCGGACTGAAAGTCGTACATTCAACCACAGCGCAATAGATGGCGGTGGTTATTTTGTGTCATTACCCAGGATTCCCAGCTTTTCTGCCTGGGCCACCACCATGGTATGTTGGTGAGTTAGAAGAACCAGTGGCATCTACATTTACAGAACATGAATCAGTAGCATCTACAATGTGCAGAACATATAGCACCAGTCGCATCTACATTTTTCTGAACAGTAATCAGTGGCATCTACATGTGCATAACATAAATAACCAGTGGCATCTACAGTAGATTATACAACTTTTAAAGCCATTCCGTGTGTCTAGTGTACATGCCGTACAACATGAACGGAATCGACAGGAATAATCGACAGTTGGACTTACGAACAAATCGACTTACAAACAGACCTCTGGAACCTAACTCGTTCGTAAGTAGAGGAGTGCCTGTGCTAAAAACAAACTGTTGACCAAACTAAAAAGGTGAGTGTATCCCTGTCGACTGAAAAATAGGCCAGCATACATCACCTGTGGCAAACCTAAACCAGTGGTGGAAATTGTACATTACCATGGAGGGGGCCATTCTTTCAAGGCAGCATTTCAACGCCGCTACATTAGCTCTCTTTCCAGAGTGTTTCCACTCATTTAATTTGATCCTTGAAGAATGATAGATTGATTCAACTACCAACTGGGATTTAAACCCACAACTTCCCAACTGTCAGTTCAGCGCCTTAATCACACAGCACGTACATGGGTCAATAACTCAATATATTTGGTGCAAGAGAGACATTTTTTTCTGAACCTGGCAAAAGTGAACACGTTTCAGCTGACAAGGTCATTTGTACTTAATTAAAATGAAAGTATATTTTCCTTTGGAATTTATTTTGATAATAAAACGTAACAAAATGTGTTTCAAATATTTTGCAGCACTGCCCACCTGAAAAAAAAAGGAAAAACATCCAAAACCCATTTCCTTGCATTTTCACTTTGCATTAATTTCAAAGAACTCCATTGTATAACTTCCAGATTTTTTTTTTATCTTAAAGGAGTAAATGTGCAATGAGTGTGCTGCTTATTGCTGGATCCCCAGAGTGTTTATTCACGTGCTTGCACGGTGCACTTTGGCACAGTGACCACTCGGGCAACAGCGTAGCACACAAAATGGCACTCAGTTTGGCGGAATGATTTTGAGTAATGGGGGATTAGATTACCCACAGAAATTGCAGGTGGTTTCTCATCGCCGTACCTGCAGCCCATGGCGTCTTATTCCTGCCGAGAGTGTTAGCGGAATATTTATGCTACTGCATTTACAAGCAGTCGCGGGGCCACAGGCTTAGCATCTCATCGACACAGCAGGACACCTGATGAGTATGTGGTGCCACGGCCGCGGAGCAACTCCACAAGCACCGCGACTCCCCCCCCTGGCCCCACCCTGAGCACACACACACACGCAGGGCACACACGTAGTGTCCCGGCGGGGGATCGCCTGGCACCACGGGTTTTCATTGGAAGGGCCCCTGTGGGGGAAGTCCCGCGATTTCCTGGTGCCAGGAGATTGGCCGACCCCCACAGGACAAGTCCCATTGCGGTACCCCAAAAGTGACTTAAAATTGTATGGTTCACCAGGCCAGCCACAGTGAGTCATGCACGACATCGGGGAGGGGTGCTGGGGTGAAATATTAAGCAAGCAGAGCAGACAATGAGGTCAGGGGATCCCAGCACCACAGACAGAATGCACACGGGCAGGGTGTGTATTCGCCAGCCGGACGTCCTTCCAGATTAAACAGGCTGAGTCAGGGATTAATGAGTACGGGGGCACAGACAATAGATTGAAACGTAACCGGCTGGACGCTCCATGTAAGGCAAGAGAAACGTTTGTAATTCACAGGTAGGTGCATGATTGACTGCGCAGGATAACGTAACCCTATACTTTTTTAAATCAAGGGGCATTAAAAAGGGAGCCAAAAACGGTTCAGAGAGATCTCATCTTCAACAGTCTGGTCGCCAAGACCACCCCCCCCCCTGCCGGCCTGCCTCTTCGAGCCGCTCGCAGCATCCGTGTGATGCCAGCGAGTGCTGCTACGAGGCAGTGATAGGCAAGGTTTTTTCGTCATCCTCCCTCCGATTCTCACAGCATCCGTGCGACGCCGGGAGTACAGCTGCGAGGTAAGTGATAGGGCGTGTGAGTGTTTGGGGACTTGGATATTCCCTCCGGGCAGTGCAGGGTTTGTACCGTGAATAAACGTTAGCACAGAGCATTGGCGCAGTGTTTGTGATTTGTGTTGATATAATCGTCTGCAGGTGCGCGCGCGTTCGCACCGCCGCTTGAGCATTAGCTGTGGGGGCATGCGTGTGTAAGAATATAATCGCCCGCAGGAGTGCGCGCGTTCGCGCAGCTGCTTTAGCGTTAACAGTGGTGGTGTGCACGGGTGAGTGAGGGCTAACTCTTGTATGGCGGTAAGCCAGTAGTTCACTCATGTCCCTCAGAGAGGGCGCTAGCGTTGGGGGGCCGAGCACCCGGTTGGCAGGGGCCTGGCAGGAGCCAATTGACGTGGTGGAGGAGGGAGTTGATGGGGCGGACGTCGCGTTCCACCTGCCCGGCAAGGGCGGTGGGGTGAACGCCGGCCCCCACAAGTACTCCCGTCTGCCATGTAGCAAGGCTCGGCCCAAGCTAATGACGATTAAACTGCCGAGCTAACGTTCGCTAGCTTGAAATTGGTAAAAAAAATCCCCTAGATCTGTCTTCTATTTGATATTTACGCTACGATGAGAGGGTCTCGTAGGAGACCAAAATACTTTTATGTAACTTTAAGATGGCGTCAAGTCAAAATCGAATTGCTTCAATGTTCAATTGGAGTTTGGGAGGAGGTGTGAGCATATATTTTGGCTGTCCTAATCGGCCAGAATTGAAAATGTCACATTGTTCTGGCATGGGCCAGTCTGGACAATCGCTATTGACTTTCTACAAAATAATGATAGTGTGCACTTATTAGCCACATTTTACGATGTCTCAAGGCACAGTTTCACAACGTCTGAAGTGCCACAATGTGGTAACAGTACTAATTTTATTGAGTCTAGAGATACTGTTCAATAAGATGCCCCCCCACCAATCGGGATTTAAACTCATGACATTTAAACTGACCCAAAGCACAAACAACAGTCCTGATACAGCCTGTTTAACTTCACAATGTTATTCAGTGTATGCAATATCTGCATATGAGAGAAGACGCGGTATGAATAGACTAATACGAACTGGTTTTCTTACTTGTGCACATATTTCTCTCTTCCAGATACACGCGGAATTATCAGAATTTTTTTTATAATGGTGATTCTCTTAAGGCACATAACCATATCTGCATGCAGCATAAGATAAAATTCCTCCCGGTGTTATAGGGCTCTCTCTCAAATAATTTCAGTCTCAGCAAAACACAACGGGTGAAGTTATTCCACGACTGAGTAAAGTTTCACCCAAAAAATCAAACGCCAAGTCAAATTGTAGACTTCATCGACATTTGTGCATTGAATGTCGAGCACATCTCGCATCCCCGGCGTAAAAAAGTCCACATTCTCTATGTACTACTGTGAAAGAAAAGGGTCAGCCTTCGGGTTTGATAAAGGGGAAAAGTCTACACTTTTAATAACTACGAAACTTTTTAAATCAATCGCACGTAATGATTGTGTAAACATCTAACACCGCAGAGCACGCTAGCGTAAAGTAGATTCCCTCCACATATCGCTGGGACACGTATACATTCCTCATTCTCTGCACAAACACAATCACAACAACAACTGAAACCACACTGTGGGATAATTATATAATACGTGTGCCCGGCAGAATACAATAAACAATGATCCCGTCCCGCACAACTATGCTAATGTTTTGACTGCAAGCCCATTGCTTTGAGAAATGCCCTGTTCCCTTTCATTACCCATTGCGAATCAAACAAAGAAATAACTAAAGAAGAAAATAGGTGCCAAGTAAGATAGAAGTTGCTCAGTAATCTCGAACGTTTACCTCTGCGGGTATGTCAGAACTTTCGTTTGGCAGCTGCAGTGGCCGTATCTAGTCCAAGCCGTATAACTGCATGGTGGTGGCCTATAATCATCATTGCAAACCCAGGTGTGTGATTACAACTGTAGGCGGTGACTTTCAGTGAGAATCTTAAAACCCTGACAGAAAGGTCATCTCCTGAAACGTTATATTATTTTGTGGTTTGCTATGTACAATGGCTCTGGTTTGGCCAGCTCCCCAGTTTAATGACTCATGAACGCTTGCAACAGTTTTATTATTGTCGAAATATAGTAGAAATCCCTGTAAAATGTGGTCTATTTGCGACCGGTCCCATTCCACATCTGGCTCACAAGAGACTCAAGATATTTAGACAGAGACATTTGATTTGAGCTGAAATAATCCAACGAACTATGGGGCTCTCTTTTTTTTAACAGGTATCCAAACCTATCTGGGGTCGACAATGGCAAGAAAATTACAGGCTCGATGAACTTCATTACAACTCATGTTCAAGGCTCGTGATGTATAATTTATGGGACCACCGAAGCATGGATGGGCATGCCTGTGTTGTATTATTTTATTATGGGGCTCCCTAATAGTCTGTAATTCACCTGAAGAGATGACGTGACACTAAGGTAATACAGATTGCCTTTACTTTGACATCTGCTGCTGTCACTTCTCCCAATGCTAAACGGGATCCTCTTTAGGGCCAGCTTAGCCCTGATCTCAGCGAGAATAAAATTGCTCTGATTTGAACTAGATAATTTAGACAAGACTCCTGAAATCACACTGAACATTGACGGAAAAAATGTCAACATCTGATTGGGAACATGTAGATAACATGACAGCTTCTTCAGCTGCCTCAATGTCAGCTAAATGCAAAGATAACCCGATTTCCAAGTTCAACCTCCTTTCCAAGAAGAAGCCAGATCCACACGTTAGAAAGTTAGATGTTGACAAGATTGTTATCAATCAGAGTAAGTCTAATTTTCGAAAGCCTAAAATCGGTTCTAGCTAAAGGGCTGAATTTCGCAGTCACCCTTAAACACATCCCAGTTGATGATATCATTGCCCACCGTCAGCAGTGTGGGTGTGTGGAGCGAGGTGCAATGCTTTGATTGGTGTAGACTTACTGCCGTTGTCGGGGCTTTCTCCTACATTAACAGCTGCCCCGCCCATCTCTAAACCTTGCCTTCAGATGCTAACCCCCTTGTTTCTGATGACGACCGCTTGTGTTGCGATCGAAACGTCATGATATTTTTAATCACTTTTAAATTTGTATTATTTTTTCTATCTACGTGACTTTATCAAAAGAACCATTGAATATGCTAATTTATCAATGAACATAACCAGCCCCGCCCAATTCGTTTCTTTCCCCTGTTTTCCTCCTGATGACGATCGCTTGTGTTGTGATCGAAACGTCGTAGTTTTATTATTATTTTTTTGTTCTTTTCTTTGAACCTATTTACGTGACTTTACCGAAAGACCCAAAGAATACATAATTTGCCAGAGGTTTTCCACCTGCAGCACATCAGAGGTTTTTTTTCTCTATTAAAATTTCAGAGCAATCTGGCTTCCCCTCTAGCAGCAACAATACAATATAACAACATGAAAATATAACTCTTGTCTATTATATTACCTAAAATGCACAAAGGCAACCATATACCATTTCTGACTGTCATTACATTTATGAAGTATTGAATTTAGTTTTTAAGTTTATTTAACAAAAAAAGCTCGCTGTTGCTCTAATATGTGTGGTATTCATACTTTTTGGTTTTTTTGTAAAGTCACGTAGGTAAAATAAAATTTATGAAAACAACTAAATTAAATCACGACGTTTCGGAGGCAACACAAGCTTCCGTCTTCAGGTGGAACAGTCACAGCAAAATAGCTGTTTTGTCGTGATTTAATTTAGTTTTCATTTATTTTATTTTACCTACGTGACTTTACCGAAAAAACCAAAGAGTATGAATCCTTGCAGTCACGAAAGCTTAAAATATAGAATGTGTGGTATTGTTTGTTTTGGCTATACCATCGTGCAAACCTGTACATTACTTATTTGCTGTAATTTATAAGAATATATTATGGTTTTCTATCTTTGGTTTTAACCAGGTCTTGCTTGAAAAATAAACATAAGCGTGTGTTGAAAATTAATTTCTTTAGAATTGCCTTTTGTGTTTAGTTTTGTTGTCCTTCCCCCGCACTTCCGGTTAGCATGGTTGGCTACGTATGGCGCAAAATAAGTTAAACATGCATGCACACACAATGTACATCACGGAGCACCCATCCTTGACTTGCACAATGTCATACTCTTTTTAATCCACCCAGGCCTTAGTTGATCAGAATTTGAACTTTTGTAATCTCCAAATTGCTAGTCGAGTGTTCTCGAGCGCCGTGTCAAAAGCATTCATACTTTAAAGTTACAAATGACACAGTTTGCACCAGAGGCAGAGCCAGGATTTTTAGGTAGGGGGGGGCAACCCCTCCAGCAATGAAAAATGATAAGAGTTGTTAGTAAGTAAGGACTTGTTCCTTGCTTTTTATTTAATGCGTGTGCGGTGATGGCGCATGGCCTGGAAGTATGACTTGATTTTATCGTTCGTCACCGTCGCAGCAGTCTCCTTCTCGACATACAGCAGCATGGCGTCATTGAGGTAGTCGGAGCCCATTGCGGTGCGCAAACGCATCTTGATGATTTTCAGGATGCTGAAGACGTGCTCGGCCATGGCTGTCGCCACCGACAACGTCGATATCAGCCGCAGCAATCGGTATACAAGGTGGTAGCCGGCCATGGCTTGGCCGGTCTGCACTAGCATGACCGATAGTTCAGGGAGCGTGCCCACATTCTTCAATAGCTCATGCTTCTCTATCTCCCTGCCGAACTGGACCAGCTGTTGATCGAGAAGCATTAGGTCGATGTCAAGAAAGTCGCTCATGTAGAACTTGCGGGCCAGCTCCACGAGCTTGTTAACATTGAACAAAGCGAATTGCTTGCGTGGAGAGATACATGCTGCTAAGGCAGAGCATCTCCATCGACTCGGCGCTGAATCTGTAGACGAACTCGGCCAGCATCTTGTCGATCGCTGCGTAGAACAGGTCGACATGGAAAACATGATCATTGATGTTCATGTGCCCATCGCGACGAGGCCGTCCAGGT